GATTATTTATTTATTTGATTGTTTTAATATGATTATTAATTGTTTAATAATCACGTAATAATTATTTTTATTATATATTTTAAAAATAGTTATATGTAAAATTATAGCTATTATTGCGGGTTTGGACATTGAATGTCTTACAGCTATCTGAAGCAGCCGATATTAAGAATTATTTAAAAAAATAATGAATTCGTGAAATTGTGTTCAAAAAATAAGGAAGATTATATTCAATAAAAATAATTGAGAAGTTAAGAAAAACGGTTGAAAAACAATTGCGATTTCCTAGTAATAAAACAATAAACAAAGAAAAAAGCGACGCATGGTTGATTGAGACATATAAACAGTGGTTCAAAAATAAAGCAAATTATATTCAATAAAAAGTTATTAATAAATAAAAATGTGCAAATTAAAATAAATGTTTTCAAAATGAATACTATATTGTAAAATAAATGTAAAATAAATGTAAAATTTAAATTTGTAATAATATAATTATAAAAAGTAATATTTCTATACGTAAAAGTATTATTTTACATTACATTGTATCGTATCATTTTTATACACTGACATTTAATTGTAAATGTAATCCTACAATCTTATAGATCAAGAAGTTTATTTACACATTTAAAAATGCGTGTAAAACTGTTATATGAATCTCCAAATTACCTGCAATGATAGTTGTAATTTTATACATAACTTCTTTTTAAAATATATAATATATAATAAAGGATATATAATAAATATATAATAAAGGAATTATTATGCAATCATAATTAAATAATCAATTAAATCAATAATTAAATAATCATTAAATGATTAATTATTGATTATTTAATGATTATCTAATGATCGATTTAATTGATTATTTAATTATGATTGTGTAATAATTCTTCTATTATACATTTAAAAGAAAGTTATGTGTAAAATTACAGCTATCATTGTGGGTATGAAGATTCATTGTAATACTTTTTCGCGCATTTATAAATTTATAGTGTGCAAATAAAATTAGCTTCTTGTGTCGTAAGTAAGATTGTAGAATTACATTTACAATTAAAGGTATGTGTATAAAAATAATATAATTGAACGTGAAATAATCCATAAAAATAATACTTTTTATAATTACATTATTGCAAATTTGAATTTTAAATTTACAACATAATATGTTATATATAATATATATAAATTTACAACATATGAACATATGAACATATTATATATACAACATATATATAATATATTCATTTCAAAAATACTTATTTTAATTTTCACATTTTTATTTATTAATAACTTTTTATTATTATTGAATATAATCTTCCTTATTTTTGGATACAATTTCGCGAATTCATTATTTTTTTAATATTGGCTGCTTCAGATAACTGTAAGATATTCAATGTCCAAACCCGCAATAATAGCTATAATTTTACATATAACTTTTTTTAAAATATATAATAAAATAATTATTACGCAATTATTAAATAATTAATAATCATATTAAAACAATCAATTAAATAAATAAATAATCATTAAATAATCAATAATTAATCAGAACGAGAGATGAAAAAAGAAAAGCGCGACGTATAAAGATCCCGCGGTCTCTCACTCGTACTAGTCGAGTGTGTGAGACAGCGAAGGAACATCGAAATAGGTCCGATCACGTCCGATTATGCTTTCTCTCTCGATCGCGCATCTTGCATTAAGGATGCAACATCGAATTGCCCCCACTTTTTTTCTTCCGCTCCGCGATCTCCTTCGCGTTCCGCGGAGACACGGACGTACGCGCTTCGTGTGTATGTGTAGCAGCCGCGCGCCGAGCACAGGACATCATTCCTATCGGTGCGTGTACGTACGTGTTTAATGTGACCCGGACGCGCCAAGTTTTTGTACATCATTTTTTTTTCTTACACATCAGATTTTCTTTTATATTTTATTTTTATATAAACATAAGTACAATAATTCAATAAAATTTTTTTGGCAACTACAAATTGACATTAATTTTAGATTGATAAAATCTTTTTTCACCTTTATAAAATTTCTTTTCTACTTTATATAATTTAAAGTTTGTGCCAATTTTTGATAGCATGTTTTTTGTAGAAATAATGAAACGATTTTTCAAATAAAAATGAACTACAAAATAAAATATATTTTACTGTAAAATCTTTTTATTTATTAAATTAGAAGTTGGCGCCAGTTCTTCATATCACATCTTTTGTTATAAAATTTATTATTAAAAAGACTTTTATAGATGGAAATTTTTGTTAAAATTCATCCTTTCTTTTACATAAATAAGAAAAGGGGCGTGTGAACTTAGCGTTACTTTTTATTTATCAATAACTGCAATTTATTCATATTATCAATAACTGCTTATATTTTTCAATGCATACACTTTCAATATATATGTCAATAATGAGCGGTAACCGATTCGATCAAAAGAGACGAATTATATGCGGCAATGAACGAACTTGGAATACCAAGGAAATTGATACGTATGGCTATGGCGACAATGCGTTCGAGGAATTGTGAAGGTGAATGGAGAAAGTCTCACAAGACTTTAAAATTTGGGATGATCTCAAGCAGAGTGACAGCCTGTCAAGTATTTTATTTAATATAGCGCTTGAAAAGGACTGGATGAAGACATATCTAACTAAGGCAGGCCGAGACCTACATCGGGTAGTGCTGATGATGATGATGATTGAACCAAAAAATGTTGGAGACGCTCGACCAACATATCAAGGGCGATAGAGTACTATAGTATCTCTATTCTCTTCTTGCAGCGCGTCGAGCGCGAGAGAATACAATAGTATCTCTATTCTTTTCTCGCAACGCATCGAGCATTTTGTTCGAGTCTTTTGCTGTCTTGCTCGTTTTTTCACTCTGTCATTCGCTCTCTCGTTGTTCGCTGGCTCTTTCACTCTCTCATTCGCTCTTTCGTTGTTTCGCTCACTCTTCCACTTTCTCACACGTTCTTTCACTATCTCGCATTTCCGCTCTCTCGCTCAATCTCATATGCTCATTTTCCATACGTGTACATCACTCCGAGAACTTGATCATTAGCGCCGCCATCTCGTAGTGGCGAAAATTGCAACCGTACAATAAGAAGGGTGTGCGTCACGGCGGGGTCCGACCACGAACCAGTCGTGAAAACTCGTAATTATTTTGCGAAAAAATACCACCTTAGCCAGGAATCGAACCTGGATCTCCTGACTTACCGGACAGGCATCTACCCTT